CCATGATGGCACCAACACGACCCAGCCTCACTGCCATCCCACCCCAGCACCCTCAGTGCACCTCGGCCTTTGCACCCCTGAGCCCCATCTCCCTTGGCAAAACACTCACCTGGCTGAAGGCCATGCTCCGTCTCTTCATGAGGCTCTCAGCAAAACTCTAAAAAAGGCTGACCAAAAACACCAACAGAGCCCAAAACTACGACCTGTGGCTTTGTCTAACCATGGTTTGGCACGGTGTGAACAGCCAAAGGCACATGAGAACCCTGCAAAGAGAGACATCTCCCCCCTCTCCAAAGGGATGCCCATCCATGCCTAATGAGAAACTGCAATGCAAGACTTGAACAGCAGAAAGTAATCAGAACAACAACAATAATCCTTAAAGCACAGGTATTCATTTCATTATTTCATTTTTCCCTAGAAAAATCTCTGAGGAGTTTCCACCAAAACACTGTGGAGCCACTTGCCAGCTTCATGCAAATGGACTTGGACTATCCCTGTTCTCCCAAAATTAACTTCAGCCAGGCCAGATCCCCCCACAACTGGAGCCTGTGACTATTCCAGCTTGATGAACTCATGGAAGGGCAGTGGGAAGCAGCAGTTCCATAGGCTGCAAGTGGAATGCTGCACTCTGCAAGCAGTGGCTCAGGGATGATCTCATTCTGCTTGGACACTTCCCACCCAACACAGCTCAAACCACCTCATTTCCCTGCTCCTCCTGCAGCCCACAAACCACAGGTGGAACACAACTGACAGGAGACCCTGAAGCCATGAAAAACCCAATCTGACTTTGAAGATGATCCTGCTGGGAGCAGGATTTTGGACCAAGTGACTTCTTGAGCTCCCTTCTGACCCAGGTGAGCCTACGTTCCTCCATCAGAGGTAGCATTAAGATCATGGAATAAAAAGCCATTGCAGCTTGTTTGTTAGGAATAAAAAGCCATTGCAGCAAAGATGTGGAACTCCTACCTCACCTGTAAGATTTTCCCACAGGTACCTGAGAAAAAGGGATCCACAGATTCCTCCCCACAGACAGAAAAACACTACCACAAGATCTAACAAAACCACAACTCCTGATAATATTTTAAAAACAGACACAAAAATTAATTCAACTCTAAAAATCCATGTTCAATAGCTTTCCCTCCTGAATTTTCCTATTTTCTGAGGTCAAGTGGTTTGAGTTCCACTTTTAAAAGTTTAATTCCAAGACACCGAGGTTAAGACATTGACACAATCACAGGAGTGAGACATACATGTCACCATGAGGTTCAACCTGTCAAACACGGCACAAGATTTAATATTAAAGAGTCACAAAAAAAAAACAAAGACTATTCCATTTCCTTCTATTCCATTTCCTTTTTTTCCTGTTTTTATCCATTATCTGGAGAGAGTTTCACATGTTTGGTTTCTATAGTCTCAACTCTGAACACCTGTGCCTTCACACGTATACCCAAAACCTATGGAAAAATTTGGCCTGTGTAAAAGAAAAATAAAATTCCACAAAAACAATCTCAATTCCAATGATCCATAGATATCCCATCAGCAGCACTTTGTCCTTAAAATTTCATAAGAAGCCCAAGCTTTGTGATAATGCCAGCTATCTAACCTGAAAAGACAGCAGAGTATTTTTGTAGCGTGAAGCCCAAAGAATTATCAAGCTTCTCCCCAGAGCAGGGAATCACTCAGATACCTCCCAAATCTCCAATGCTACTGCTTTTGTCCAAAGGAATGCTAGAGAAAGTCTCCAATTTGCAAACTTGAACCGTGATCCTTTAAATATTTATGCTCATGTTTACTTTGTCGAGAGGGGAGAAATCCCGTTCGCTCGAGAGGAAGTGGAGCAAACGTCGGCACGCAGGACAAAGCCCGAGAAATTCAGAATGCTCTTTTCAACCTCAACGCACAAAAACCACCATGTTCCAAAGCTGAAACCTGCACCCAGCCCATCTCAGAGTCCAGGCCCAAGCTGGGGGAGTCATCAAGGACACAACAAACGGGGGTTCAACCCCGGCGTTTCGCGTGCTAGCGGGAACACGAATTCCCTTTTATTTACAAACTGAGGGGACACAGGAATTTCTGAAATCAAGTTTGACCGGCTAAGATGCTTCCAGTGGTTCAACGACCTTGTTTGCTCTCTCATAAATGTATTTTTAAAGGGATTGAGTTCAAAAGTTGCACGGTTTAGAGCAAGAACTAGAATTGGGCAGAAAATGGCCGCGCTACACTCACCAAAACCAATCAATCACCCCAAATGACTTCAGAAACTCTCTGGTCACACTCCAATGACAGAATCCCAGACTGGGACCTTAAAAGCTGGTCTTGTTCCGTCCTCTGCCATGGGCAGGGACACCTGCCACTATCCCAGCTTGCTCCAAGCCCTGTCCAGCCCGGCCTGGAACACTTCCAGAGATGGGGCAGCCACAGCTGCTCTGGGCAGCCCGTGCCAGGGCCTCAGCACCCTCTCAGCCAACCACTCCTTCCCAATATCCCACCTAACCCCACTCCCTGGCAGAGGGAAGCCTTTCCTCCTGGTCCTGGAACTACAGTTCCTGATGAAGCTGTACACCCCTTTCACACACTGGAAGTTTGCTCCTGGTTTCCCCAGACTTGAAGCAGTTAAGCTTCAGGACCACAGGACACTTGTGGTCTCAAGGCTGTCATGGTGAGCCCTGGGTTCCTTGCCAGTTTGGTGCAAAACCAGTGGAGGGACCAGCACTGTGCCTGTGCTCCCAGTACTCCCCCTGTTGACTTGCAGGCATGGGAAGGAACAATCTGTTCTTCCATCCAGAGCAGAATACTGCTCTGCCAGAAACCAAGCAGAGGATGAAGATTTCAAGTCCAGCCATACTTTGACATGAGCTAAATTAAATTAAGCTAAATTAAGGCTGCACAGGTAACTCGAGCTTCACATTTCCCAAGTGCCCGAACTCAGGTGCTTGACATTCTCAGCAAAACTGATCAATGCTCACAAAATGCACCATAAAGATCCCAGATACAAATAATTTAGGCATAAAGCATTCAGATTTTCCTAGCAAAGGATTCCAAAGGTTTGATTGTCTGAGTGGTTTAGTAGTGGTGTTTGTGAAAGATGCTGTAACAGCAGTAGTCGTATCAGGCATTTGATACCTTGGATCTGAAAATGCAGCTTCCCCACCCAAAATAAGGAGGAAAAAAAAGCTTAAAATGTGGAGTTGATAAATCATAACAGGAGCAGTGGATGCAGAGGACAAATAACTTGACAAAACAGATCTACATTTTAAATACACGATAAATTCCAATAGAGCTTTTTCCAAGTGCTGCTGATGGACACCAGGCCTTTCAACACAGAGGAAAAATCTCTAAAGCCACCCTGATTTATGCATTGATCACAATAAATACATAAATAAATAAAAAATTAAATAAAAATATGAAGTTGCATCATCATTGATAGCCCAGGAAACAAAAGCTTAATAGTTGTGTGCTGAGGCTGCTGAATTACCTTCTCTGCCATCAGCAACCTGACTGACAGCTTCCAAAATGGTATTGGGGATCAAAAATTACAGCCAGAAGGGAAGGCAAAGGCTGGTAGAGCCTTAATGGGGGAAAGAGGCATGGAAACCCCTCTTATTTTAATTAAATAAAACGTAAAAATGAGAAAAGCCATTGAACTGGGTGAGTTTACTCAAGGACATAGGGGAAATTGTGTGACTGTATGGCGAAGGGCTGAAAAGATGTTGTTCAGGGATAACACAGGCTCTGACCCAGCCAGAGTTTATGGATGAGGTCAGATTTGTAAGGTCGTGCTTAAGGATTCCCAACCCATCACCGCAGCATCCATGCACCTCTCCATGGGAACACACCGCTCCCCTGTCATTTCCTAGCAGTCCCATGGGACAAGAGTCAGGAAAGCATTTGAGCCGGCCAGAAACCCAATTCTTCACCTAGCAATCTATTTACAGAGCGATTTATTACAGCTCCTGGTTATCGACTGAGCGAGACACCGCGCCGGTTTTCCTCCCGTAGCAGCAAATCTCCTTCCTCTGCCGCTACGTGATTATTTTTTTGATCCGCCGATGGGCAGGGACCGCGCTGCAGCGCGGGATGGGAAAGCCATGATTTCTGCTGAGCTCACGCTGCCCACTTCATCACCCTCGCCTTGCTTTGGGGATGGGAAAACCTAAATGGAGGAGGAGGAAGCCGATCGAGAAGCAGGAGGGCGGCCAAAAACCCGGCTCCGAACTCACGGCAGGTCCTAGCGCAGGTCACGTCGGAGGGGTTTATTTTTGGGGGGGGGGATAAAGCAAAGGCCGTTTTGGCTACGTTTAGGAAAATTCCAGAAAGAAATATCGACTCTTGTAACCTGCGGAGGAGCAGTGCTCCCGCAGGAGTCCGGCGTGCCAGGGTGGGAACTGCCGTGAAGTCCAACACTGTGCTAAGCACACGCAGGTACAGCTCGTTCCGGCGGGTGGGAATGGCTGATGGGTGCCCGGGAACGGCTGATGGGTGCCCGGGAACGGCTCTGCGGGGCGGACCGGGCTGGCGGAGCCGCGGGGCGACCGCAGGCGTCCGCGACCGGCTCCCGTGGCGCTGCCCACAGCCGTGGCCTCAGGGCTATGGCACACTCAGGGCTCCAGCCCACGGCCCCACTGCTGACACTGGGGACGCCTCTGAGGTGAATCTCCTCCCCCCCAGGCTGGTTTTTCCATGTTCTGAGTGTCCAACGCACCCGCGATGGGGGTGAGCGGCACCGGGCGGTGAAACGCCGTGCACGGGGCGGAGGGGGGGGGTTACGCGGGGCCGCCCCGCACCGCGCACCCGCCGGGGACGGCTCAGGCAGGGAGGATCCCACACCACCGGGAGGACTCCGCGACACCGGGCAGACCCCACGACGCCGGGGAGACTCGCCCTGCTCCGCCGAACAAAGGCTCCGCCGGCCCCGCGATGCTCCGGCGGGGTTCAGCCTTACGACCCCCGCCCCGCCGCTCCCACCTCACGCGCGCACCGGAGGCCCCCGCCCCGCTCCGCTCCCCGCTGCCGCTTACCTGGGTGTCGGGGCGCGGCGCATCCCTCGCCCGCAGCCGCAGCCTCCGCCGCCGTTGAGGTGGGTCCCGAGGGTCGTTGGCTGAAGGAGGTCGGTTCCGAACAGATGTCCCGGGGGTCTGCGCTGAGGACGGTTGGTGCTGAGGAGCGTCCCAAGGGTGGGTGCTGAGGAGGGTCCCGGGGCTCGGTGCGGAGGGAGGTCCGGGGGTCCCGAGGACGGGTGTCGAGATGGGTGCCGGGTAGGAGGGGGTGCGGACGGACAGACGGGCGCTCCCTCAGCCGCCGCCGCCCGGGCGCTGCCCGACTGCCCGCGCGCGCGCGCCGCTCTCACGCGCCCGCCCGGCGGAGGCAGTCCGCGAGGGAGGCGCGCGCCCCGGCCCGCCCCGCTGTGGGAACGCCCACGGGCACGCTCCGTGGATACGCCCCCTGTCGTTACGACGCGACCGCTTTACGGCAGTGCACGGTAACCGAGCGGCGGCGGCGGCGACGGGCGATGAGGCGGCGGGTGAGAGCCGGGGGGACACGGGAGGGACACGGGAGGGGACACGGCGGGACACGGCGCCATTAAGGACCTGGCAAGGACCCGGCGCTGGGCGCCATGCCCGGGGGTCGCGCCGGCCGCAGCCGTCGGGGTCGGTGCTGGCCGGCCTCGGGCCCGGAAGCTTCAAGCCCGCGTTTTGAGGGGAAAAAAGGGTAAAATGGGTAAAATGGGTGAGGGAGCAGAGGTGAGTTACGGTGCTGTGGGTGGTCCCTGCTCCCACCGCAGCCAGGCCCTGACCCTGCGCCTGGCCCGGGTGCACCCTCTCCTGGCCCGTGATTCCCGTTTATTCCCACAAAAGCAGCGATGCGGTGAGCGGGATCTTCCCGGGGCTGCGGCGTGCTCCGATCCCGGCCCCGGAGCGCCGGAACACGCTCGGGGTCAGCACCGGGGGCAGCACCGGGGGCAGCAGGTGACTGCTCCTCCTCCGTGGGGCGTGGGACACCCGCATCGCCTCCCCTGAGCGAATTCCCACTGCTGACCGAAGTCCTGTCACCTGCAGGTCTTCCAGGCGAGTTCCATTCCCTGCCCGTGCTTCCCGCTGCTCCCTGGATCAGCCCCTGTCTGCGGGAGGTGAGAGGTGAGTGCAGCTGGTTCGGGATGGGAGCTGGGATCCCATCGGTACCTCCGGGACATTCCCGGTGCCCTCGCACATCCTCAGGCGTTCTGCTCGCTGAGGGGGGTTTTTCCTGTTAAACTCCAGGTTTTGGTCAACCCCATCCTGGAGAGCAAAAACCGTCGGGTGTTGTTCCTGTGGCTCTTGGTTTCATGCTGTGACACCAAGAGAGGTTCTGAGTTCGGTTACAGAGTCTGGTTTGGGGAATTTATCCAGAACACAGAAGTTTGGGCATAGTGAGCACAGAGCTTGGAGTATTTTCCTCTGAATTCAGCACTCATGGCCTGTTGAACCTTCAGAAATGGGATGTTCTTGTATCATACAAAAATTATAACCTACAGCTGCAGAAAGATTATTTATATTTGACAAAAAAGGAGACAACTACGCTTCCGTTCTGGTTGAATTGTTTAATTTTCTGTGAGTTTTTCCTCTGGCTCTGTCAGGAAACGCGTAAGTCCAGAGATTCAGGTGTCATCCAGCCTGGCTCCTGCTGGTAAATAGAAATTAATGTTCCTTGTCTGGTCTTGCTCCATTAACAACTATCCAGACATGGTATCTACACCTCATATTTCCAGGAAAAATGAATAGAAAGTTAAACCATAAGGTCTTTTGATCTTAAAAACCTTCTCTGTCCTTCCTCCTGCTCCATGATAAAGTCTGGATTTTTTGTGTTCCAGGTGACTATTTTCCTATTTACCTCCATGTTCTTAAATTTAGGAACAGGACTCTAGTGACGTGTCACCCCAAACTATTCACTCTGGAGCTTCTTAGCACCTTTAATTTATTAAAATAGACTTCAGGATTCTGATTCATCCTCAGTTCACGCTCCTTTTGCTCTGTCACGGCCTTTTTATGCTCAGTTACTGAGGAGTCTCATTCCTTGGCTCTCAAGTGCCTTCAGCAATTACCTGCAGAGGGTTGTTGTCTCTAGTGGTGTGAAAATGACAGGTTTGGGGTGGTTTTTGGTCAAGTACTGGAAAACACAGGCTTTGCATTGTGTCCGGACACGAAGGAGCTCCATCCATTTATGGATTGAACTCACACTGATGCCAGCAGCTAATTTGTTAAATTATTATAACTTCAGTGAGGGAAGCTTGACCTCTTGCCCTATTGATGCAGCACAGCACCATTTTCAAACCTGTAAATAAAATGATGGTGTTTGTATGGAAATGCTCCTTTCTCTCTCCCCGGTTTCCTCGTCTCAGCATTGGAAATGGGGCAGCTGAAATCCCTTGGAGGAGCTGAGGATCCCAGGGAGTTTGCACAAATTCCAACTACTAATATGCAAATAAAATGAACCAGCAAGACACTTGTTGGCAACCTCCAGCAAATGTTCCAGGCCTGTGCCAGTATTTATTCTTATTTTTATGGAAACTGAACAGAACGTGCCTGAGCCTTCAGGAAGAGAGTCCTGGCTGTGGCTGAGCAGAGCTGCTCCCAGTCCACATCAGGATTTCAACACTCCTCAGAGGCTCAGATCCAAGTCCTGGCTCCTCTGCAGATCCACCTTTAGCTCTCATGGGAGGTTCTCCCAAAGAAAGCCACCTCACCAGTGGCTTTTCACAGCCCCACCACTTTGTTTTGGTGCTCTCTGCTTACCTGACCTGGCTCTGAGGGAGCCTCCCAAGGGTTTTCCTTGGAGCTGCATGTGGTGAGTCATGCCACAGAACTCACAGGCAGTTTCACAAATACCAGATGGCAATAAAATTAAAAGTAGTAGCTAGTGGCAATTAAGCACTTGCACTCTCCTTCCTGACTGGAGGAACCTGCCAAATGTCATGACAGGGGAAAAAAAAAAAAAAAAAAGACAACTGTGTTTCTGCAGAGTGGAAAATTAACAGAGCACGGGACACACGCTTCCCTCGCCCTTAATCCCATTTGGATGGAGTGGAAAGCTATTGGCTGGACTTCTACGTGTCCAGGAGAAGATGAAGCAGAAAGAACACAATGTAAAGGAAAATCTGGGGCATTTCATGGGCACCTACAAGAAGTATTTCAGTAGTATTTCACCATGTTAAACCCCCCAAACAGGATATTTGGAGGAAGTCCAGATCTTTAAACCAGGCTATCTTCGGGCAGGCTGAGGAGTTGCTGGGATTCCACTGGGATTTCTTGTTTTTACACTACAAGGGTTTGCACCACGAGCTTGGCAATAGCTGGAGCTCATTAAGGTCGGAAGCGTGTCCAAATACCATTGTGTGTGGCTCACACATACAAGGGCTGCTCCCTTCCTCTGCTGACTCCTGCTCTCGGCATCTCTGGGATCCACCAGCCTCACACAAACTCTCACGGGCTGTTCATGGCCCAAGCACTCACCTCAGCCCTTCCTTCCGACCTCTTACACATGGACCATGCCTCATCCATTCTGCTCCTTGCCTCTCACGTGCCAGGGGGACCTTGCCAACATTTTTGAGTGATAAATCCCTTAATTTATGCATCCCGGGCCAGGAAGGGTTCTTCCTCATGATTCATGCCACAATAAGAAGTGTGAATCTACTTCTTCCTAACAGAGCTCTCCATTTGCTTCATTCTTCTTTATCATGATGGAATATTGGTGACTTATTTATAGTGAATCATATGAAAGTGATCTTACCATTCTGAGCTTTCACACAAGGCTTTCAGAAATCTGAAGATGTTTTCCTGCTGTCTTTGGGACAGAGGAGGGAAGGATGAGGCCAAAACCAGCTCCATGTAATCCGTGTCCCAAGTTGTGGCATTTCCAGCCCTGTCCTGGCCAGGAAAGGATCTGGAGGCTGAGGATGCATCACAGCACTGAGGAGCCTGGAAGGGCTGCAGGGTGTGAGAGCTAAAGGAAAACCAGGGTAGATATAGGGGCTCTAAATCAAATTTCCCTATGGAAAATCTCCTAAATCCTACTCTGGCTCTGTAGAGAGTTGCCACAAAGATTCCCACGGTCGGGAACTGGTTTGTTTGTGATCTCGTCCTGCTTTGTTACTCCTTACTCACAGCTGTGCCTCCTGTGCTGGCGGCCCAGCAGGTTCTCCTGGAACAGGTCGTGCCTCTGGCACAGAGCTGGGGCACTCTGTGCTTGGAGAAGGGGACCATATGTCTGTCAGACAGCCCAAAAAGGTTTTTATTTAGGGGAATACAGTGAAGCAAAGAGCTCCAGTGCTTGTCACTGCTCAGGTAAAACACTGAGACACCCAAACACCTCCTGACGTCTGGATCACTCCTGGTTTCTGTGCAGGAACTGCTCTGAAAATCCTTTGTTGTGTGTCACAGACATATTTTCTGAAAAATCCTTTCCTTAGGATTTTTCCTCCTGAGAAGCTGAAAGGCCTCAGGAACAAAATGTAAACATTGATTATCTGCTGCTGTGGAATGCAACAGGTGCATCTGTGATTGGTCTCATGTGCTTGTTTCTAATTAATGGCCAATCACAGTCAGCTGGCTCAGACTCTGTGTCCCAGACACAAACCTTTGTTATTCATTCCTTCTTTTTCTATTCTTAGCCAGCCTTCTGATGAAATCCTTTCTTCTTTTAGTATAGTTTTAATATCATATATATCATAAAATAACAAATCAGGCCTTCTGAAACATGGAGTCAGATCCTTGTCTCTTCCCTCATCCTTGGACACGGTCACAGTTGTGGGGTTCAGATCCTCAGGACGGAAGGTTGATCTCATTGGGGCCACAGCAGGTTGCTGCTTAACCCAGCACTGTGTGTTCTCCATCTGCTCATGGTCCTGCAGATACCCATCTGGGAATCCTGGGCTCACTGACTGCTGCTGAGCAGGAACTCAGGTGTTCGCTGGGCTGTCTGCAGGTGTGGGCTGTATCCTGACTGTGATCCAATCCCCACCCCGTGTTCCCCTGTCTGTTGCAGCTGTGGCGGAGCCCTCTGGCAGCCCAGGATGGATCCCGTGGTTCTCAGCTATGTGGACAGCCTGCTGAGGCAGTCGGACGTGGCGCTGCTGGAGCCCCCGAACTGGCTCAACGACCGCATCATCGGCTTCGCCTTCGAGTACTTCAGCACCCAGCAGTTCCAGGAGTTCGGCCAGCGCGTGTGCTTCATCAGCCCCGAGGTGGCCCAGTTCATCAAGTGTGCCCTTAGTCAGGAAGAAATAGCCATATTCCTCCAGCCCCTGGACCTCCTCTGCAAGGAGCTGCTGTTCCTGCCCATCAATGACAACTCCAGCCAGGCCGCTGGGGGCACCCACTGGAGCTTGCTGGTTTATTTCAGGGACAAGAAGTGCTTTGCCCATTACGATTCCCACAGTAAATGCAACTCTGCCCATGCCAAGCAGGTGGCAGGGAAACTGGAGGCCTTTCTGGGAAAAAGAGGGGGCAAATGCACCTTTGTGGAGGAGAAGGCGCCGGCACAGCAGAACAGCTACGACTGTGGGATGTACGTGATCTGCAACGCCGAGGCTCTGTGCCAAGGCTACTTCCAGGGCAGGATGGAGCCTCTGCTGCAGCTCCTCACCCCCTCCTACATCACGCAGAAAAGGTCAGAGTGGAAAGCTCTCATCACAAAACTGGCACAGAAGTGATGGGGATGCACCTCCAGCCCCCCAAAAACTGCCTTCCCAGTCCAAGAGGCAGCACCCCCAGTGCCTGAGGGAGATGCCCATGCACAGGATTGTCCCAAAGAAAAAGAATGTAACCCCTCTAGCATGGCTACACCCCCCAAACACCCCGTTCCCTCCAGGAAAAGCCTTATTCTCCTCTTGAAATCACCGGCCTTTCAGCTTCTAATGACAAGAGTCACTTTGCTTTCAAAGAAACCCTCTCCATGGTAAATTTTTACAGTAATTGCTGTGGCAAAACAGGTTGCTAAAGAGACTTCTCCACCTGTGCCCAGCAGGCAGCACACCCTCATTAGGTGGCTTTAGTTGGCTCCAGGCATTGTCCTTCCAAGCCAGGTTAAGCAAATGCTCTTTAAACCCAAGCCCCCGAGTGCTTTATCGTGGACAGTTCTAATTTGTGCCTCCTGCTAGTGGTATTGGAGAAATGTAGGATTCAGAAGCCAGGATTTTGTACCCCTGAAAATGTGACATTGAGATGTCACTGCAAAAAGATGAGACTGCAAAGGAAATGCTACAATTAACTTAAGAACAGGGCAAAATCAAAGTCATTTTTCATCAGCCAGGTGCTCCTCAGCCACACAGCCATGGCTTTTTTTGGTCCCCCGCCCCTGCTTGTTCTTATTGCAAATTAAAACCTGACTCTGAACTGCTGCAAGATTAATAAGAAGCTGAGAAAACCAATCCTAGGAAAAGAAACTTAATTGAGATGAAAAGCAACACTCACTCTTTGAAGTTTGGTGTTTTTCATTAGGATTTTAGGTCGTCTCTGTGCGGGGAGGGTTTGTCAGTGCTCCCCAACCCTTGTTAGCGGTCGCTGCTCATAACACAAAACCAGTTCTGTTACTTGAGAGGAAAAAAAAAACAACACACTAGGGAGAACAAAAGGACAGAGTTTGAGGTATAAAAGCCAAAGATAACTGCGGGCTCCTTGAAGTCCTTAATGCACTTCAGAAAATTGAAACACTTCTCTTCTGTGCTGGATGATGGCTGGGATCCTGGAGTGCATCCTCTCCTTAAAGACATGCTTAGCAGTGTGGAAAATAAAAATTAAACTGAGATGTCATGGCAGGATAAGGAATAATCTCTCACCTGGTGAGAAGCAAAGAGCAGGTTGCTCAGGTGGTGTCTAGCAGAGCAACCACACCCCTACCTGAGGAGGGAAATCCGGGTTAAATACAGCCCTTGAGGAAGGATTGCTTTTAACCTGGAGCTCTTCCCCACCAGTGTGTGCAGCAGCACAGCACAGAGGGGATGGAGGGCTTCACCTTCCCCTGCTCCAAGGGAATGTCAAGAAATCAGCCCCAAAACACCCTCATGGGGCCTGACAAGGGTTGGGGCCGTTCCCCTCCCTCCTAGCACTGCCTGGACAGGAGAGCAGCCTCCAGCACCAGCCCTCTGGAAAACCCACTCAGCTGGAGCCAGAACAGGATCCAGCTGCTGGCTGAAGGGATTCCCTTTGGACTCTGAGGGGCTTTGCCAGAGCAACATCACTGCCACTCCCAAATCCCAAATAAAACTCAGACCAAACTGTGTTTCCTGGCGTAATCCAGTCCTTGGTGTCCCTGCTCGTGCTGTGGTGCAGTGTAACAGCATGGTGGCTCTGACTCATCTGTCTGACAGAGCTGCCTTGGCTGATTTAATCTCCCAATCCTATTTTTAGATTGGCTTGGGCTGGGGAGGGAGGAAGACAGAGAAGATGGGACGGTGGGTGTGACATGGGCAACAACAGGGGGATGTGAGGGCAGGGGCTGTGCTCACCCAGCACCCCCCTGTGCTCACCCAGCACCCCCCTGTGCTCCTCAGTGCTGTTTCCAGGCCAGCAAGGTGAGTGTCCAGGGATGTTCCCTGCACCCAAAGCTTTTACATGGCATTTCTTTACACAAAGAAAAGCAAATAGGCTCCAGCAGGATGTCACTGGGACAGCCAACATGCACCAAACCAGGCAGATGGGAAACAAAACCAGAGCCTTGCAGCCACATCCTGGCAGCAGAGCCCTCCCACAGCACACTGTGGCTTCATCCCAGTGCTCCTCCAAACCTCCTGCATGTCACTGCACCCATGGCTTGTCCCACCACTGGCTTTAACCAAGGGGTCTTGAGAGGAGATCACATCCCTGGCTCGGGCTCAGCACCTGCTGTTGGAGGACCCTACAAACACCAGGCTGGGCACATCAGCCCAAACTCCCCCCAGTCCTCAACCTCTATACCTCTTTTTGTGGCTAGGAGCCCACTTTGAGGTTGGACTCATTAAACACCAACTTGTTTGTTGGAAAAACAATCCTAAACCCATTTCCACCATGTAAATGAGCTGGGTGAGTCCCTGGCAGGGACAGGATGGTGCCTTTCATTCTCCAGGTCACCCACGGAATCAAAGGCTCCGACAGCCCCATAATGCCGGGGCTTTGAATAAACCAGACCTGGGGTGCCAAATCCCGCCCAAAACAGGTGACACCACCCCTGTCCCCACTTAACCAGGGGCACCGTGGTTTTCAGTGGGGCCATTTTCATGCATTTTGCTGCATGATCCAGACCTGGGAAAAGAGTGGAATTGGGTTGTGGATGTGCAGTGAGGAGGAGGAGAAAGAGGAAGGCTATCCCTGCCCACCCCAGCTGGGCGGGGCTGTAACTCAGCTCCCTCCCCCGCTGTCCCCAGGGTGGCCCTGCCACCAGCGCGTCACATCCCGCGGTCTCTGCTGCCATCTAGTGCAGGAACCGCCGTGGCCCCTCCGTCCGGAGCATCCCTGTCCCCTTGTCCCCATGAGAGGACGGGCTGTGCCCATGTCACTCACAGCCTAGCACCGCTGTGGAGGACGCTGGTAAGAGAGTGATGTGCTAGAAAATCCTGGGTTTATTGTAATTCCATTTAAAAGCCGTTCCAAGCCTGGAGCGAGCAGTGAGCTCTTCCCCAGGGCGCTGGGATTTGGCCCCGTCAGCACTTGTAGTTCCCAAAAAAACAGGAAAGAAAGGAATCACACTGGTACCACCTGCCACCCCAGGGTGCTCCCAGGGGGCTGAGGGACAAATCCTGTGAGACAGATCCTGCAGCACTCAGCTCCATGCGGTGACAAGGTTGGCAGAGCCAGGGCACAGACACTGCACTCTGGGACATTCCCCAGTGCCAGCCATGGGCTCCTCTCCAGCGTCCCCATGGAGTGAGCAGGACTAACAAAGTTCACCTGGGCCAGGTGTGAACCCCAGCGAGGACACCCGGTCTGGGGGACCTTAAAGTGCTTTGCAAGGGATGCACACACACACACACACACATCCCCCTCTCTGAGCTCAGTGCTCCAGGAGAGAAGGGCTGGGCAGCCCTGGCTTGAACCCCACCCTTGTGTGTGGGATAAATGACACCCCACAGGGCTGGTGGGACCTTCCTCCCCATCCCCACAGATCCCTGTGCTCAGGGCCATTCCTCCAGGAACATTCCCAGGGATACTGAGACAGGGACAAACAGGTGGGTTCTCCCAGAGCAGCAGTGGCAACTCATCCACATTTCTGGGGGTTCCTGGTGAGCCCAAGGTCATCTTTTAACAAGAAAAAAACAAGCCTGAAATAAAAACCAGCATCCATCTTAGCAGCAAGTTCTAAGGGAAGGTCCAAGTGCTCGGCAGCCCCGAGCCATTGTCCAGTGCTACAGCACAGCAGTGTCCCAGGGAGAAAACAGGTTTCCAGTGGGATGGGGAGTTGGCACTGGTGGCCAGAACCTGGCTGGAAAGTCCCACCAGGAGCAAGTGCCCAAAGGAAGAGAGAAAATATTTGGTCCCATTTTACCAGCCGAGGGAAAGCCGGACCAAATGTAACAGCCACGGTTGGGAGGACACAGCACCGGGATCCATGTGCAGGGTGCCACCAGCTCAGTGTCCAACCTCAGCCAGCACCTGGGAACAGTCACCTGCAAGCAGGGAGTGGGGGAAGATGGGATGAGTAACTGCAGAGGCTTTGTATCCCATCCCAGTGCCTCTTGATGTCCTCAGCCCAAGGAGATTCCCCTCCTGTCCATCCCATGTTGATGCCCACGGCCTGAGTCCCCAGGAACAGCCCAGCTCCAAAGAAATGTCCTGGTGCTTCCTACAACTGGAGAACCAGCCCCAAACCTATGAGGAAACCTCTTCCCAAGCTCCAGAGTCTCTGGGACAGCAGAGTTTCTCAATCACTCAAATTGATGGTTGATGGGATCACCTCTGGTCTGGACATGGCACTGTGGGTTCTGTCACTGGCCAGCCCAACAGCAGGCCCAGGATAAAGGACAAAGCATTCCTTAGACACATCACAGAGTGGATCCATTCCTCTTTGCACCCACATTCCTTCAAGTCCTCCACTCATGTCCCTCCACTGTGTGTCCCAACATGTCCCTGAGGGTGCCTCACCTCCTGTGCCCGCGGGAGAGGTAATCCCGGTTCAGGGAGCAGAGTTGCTGCTCCAGACGGAAGATGCGGAATGCCAGGTATGAGGAGGACACCACCAGGAGACAGATGCTGGGAGCAGAGGAACAACCAAACACCCCGTTGAGACTGAGACTGACATTCCCAGTGTCCCCCCAGCTTCCCTGTGCCCTCAGCACACTTACAGCACGATGAAGATCTTCAGGAGCTGGTAGTCAGAGGGTCTGAGCTCTGCCACGCAGCTCTGCTCCACCTCCAGCTCCTCCTCGGTGTTTATTGCACTTTCTGAAAGCAAACCCAGAGTCAGCGACACAGACACACTTGGCTGATGCTCCTGCTCCTCCAGCAACCAGGAAACATCAAATATTCCTCCCTCATGGGCTCAGACCCTGCAGCCAGGAGACCCCAGGACTCCATTGGTGACTCCCAGCCTAATCTGTAAGGCAGAATTCCCCTGCAGGAGAGCAGCTGATGGATGAACACACTTTTATGGAGGTTATCACCCCTCACCTGAAACCAGTGGCTCCTCAGAGGTGAAGGAGCTCTCCTTGGTGCTCAGGCTGCTGACAGAGGTCCGGTGGATGCACTGGTAGTTGGCATCTGGCAGTGACAGGGACAGTGAGGTAGGTGACACCTTCCTCCACTTGCCCTCGGGGACGATCACCTCCTGTGGGAACAGTCCTGGTGAGCCATGAATGAAACCAGCAGTGCCACAGACATGGTGGGGCCAGATTCAAACTCAAACCTTACAGTGTCTCCATGGAGCACCAGCACTTTCAAAACATCCTCCAGAGGGAGAGCTGGTCTTCCATGATGGCTCCATGGGAATGCAGGTTCCTACTACCAAAGAAGGACCTGCCCATGCACCCCACACCTGCCCCAAATACCAGCTGCTGCCTCCTCCACCCTTGAAGCTCAGGGCAGTCACCTGGAATTCTCCAGCATACCCCAAATAGGGAAAAAAAGTGCCCCAAAAAAGACAACAAATCAAATGGCATGGCAGCTGGCACAGAGAGGGGCTCCCCCAATGGAGAGTTGCCAGGGCTGGAGCTGCCAAAGGGCTGCATCCCACCAAAGCACCAGGAGATGCTGCCAGATCAGCCTGGGTCACTCCTGATTCAGACCATTCACTCCCTTGAAATGAGCCTTTAACCTCTGGGATGTCACCAGACCATGGGTGACATCCCACCTGTCACCCTCTGGTGCACCCCAATTGTCACCTCCTGTACCCAGCATGAGGCTCAGGGCCAGCAGCCATGGAAGAGCCCCTGCTCCAAAGGTGCAGGATATGGCCCCCATGCTCCTGGATCATGCCATGGCTCAGCAGGTGTTTCCCTCTTCTCCCATCCTACTCATCCTGCAGACTTTTGGGTAACTCAGCCACATTCCCAGCCTGTTATCCAACAATCCCAGCTGTGAACAGCAGCAGCCATCAGGGAGCAGAGTGGTGGCATTTTCCACATCACTCTGAAGTTTTTCTGTCT